CCTCCTGCCTTGCTCTTGTTACTTAGGATGGCTTTAGCTATTCTAGGTCTCTTCTGGTTCCATAGAAATTTTAGGATTGTTTTCTCTAGTTATGTGAGGAATGCTATTGGTATTTCTATTGAGTTTGCATCAATTCTGTGCATCAATTTTGGAAGTATGGCCATTTTGACTGTATCAGTTCTGCCTATTGAGGCACAAGGGATATTTTTCCATCTGATGTTCATTTAAATCTCCTTTCCAGAGTACTGTAGTTTTTATAGAAGTATTGTAGAAATCTTAAACTTCCTTGGTTAGGTTAATTCCTAATAATTTAAGTTTTCTTGATGCCATTATGAAAGGTCTTATTTCCCTAACTTCTTTCTTGGTGAGCTTATTATTGGTATATAAGAATGTTATTGGCTTTTGAGTGACTTTGTATCCTACTGCATTACTAAATTTTATTATTAATCCAAGGAGTCTTTTGGCAAATTTTTTGGTTTTCTATGTAGAGGATCATATCATCTACTTCTTCCTCTCCTATACAAATTCATTTCTTTCCCTTGCCTGGTTGCTCTGGCTAAATTTTCAAGAACTAGAGTGGTACCTCAGTTTACAAACTTATGATTTATAGAGAAGATACTTGCATTTGTGTTTGTGTGGGGAAGACGGACATGGTCACATTTGTCATCTAATGCAGAGTTTGTGAATAGAACAAAAACCTTGCCAAACACTTCAGTTTGGAAAAAAAAAAAAAACAAAAACAAAAACACAGTTTGCAAACAGAAGCATTCATAATTTGAAGTATCGCTGCATTTAGAAAGTTTTCTGCTATTACTTTTGTTAACAGGTTTATGCCCTTTGTACTGCCTACTCATTTTATTTGTTCCAATTAATCTTAGTCATCTTTGTGTTGTCTACAAACTGTCAGATTCATTATGTTCTTGTTTTTAAGGAATCTTCTGTCTTCATATCGGTCACTTCTGATGCCTATGTTTCCAACATAATTTTTAATCTTCTGGATTTTTGTTTGAAGCCTTTTCATGAATTCTAATTCTTTATTAAATTTGTCATTCATGTTTCATGCCACTTTGTTTCACTCAGCTAGGATTTTTGATGTCTTCCATCAGCCCTCTGATCATTTTAATTCTTCTGTTACCTGCCTGCTTTGGTGTCATCAATGCGGGTTATACAGAGAAAAGTCAAAGTTATAGTTCCGTCTACTCAAAACGCTGTCCAAATCACACCAGACTCTTATATGGCTCAATTGGTCATTCTTTGATGAAAATTTAAAAATAATAAATAATAATAAAGGAAATACTGTTTTAAAAATAGAAATTAATTTGAAACATTTTAAAGGGCTTTCAAATACAAGTGTGGATGTCCTCTAGGTAGACAGCTACATGTCTACAGAAACAAAGGTGCTGGACTGCTGACCTGGAAGGACACAGAAAGCCATTCTACCAGGAATACAGCCTCACAGAAAAACAGGAAATAGGCTTCCTTCCATTCTTCCTTTGTTCTTTTCCTTTGAGAAACATCTTATGATGTAGTTTAAGCTGGCCTTGAATGCATTATGTAGCCCAGGCTGCCCTCAAACTCATGGCAATGTTTCTGCCTCATATTCTTGAATGGTGGGATTATAGGCCAGTGCCACCACACCTAGTTTAAGATTGAGCTATTATAAGTTATGCTGCTATTAACTTTGTGCATGTATCACAATCATATGATGTCTGTAACTCTTTTGGAAAGATTCCTAGAGAGGTTATAGCTGTGCTGAGCAGAATTTGTATGTCTGCTTATCTGAGGAATCTCCATAGTCATTTTCATAGAGGTTGTTCTAGTTTACATTCCCACAAGCAATGTGAAAGGGATTTTCATCCACAACTTCACCAGCATTTGTTATTGTGTTATCTCTTGATGATATCCATTATTTCTTAAGATGTAAATTAAGTGTTTTAAAATATCCATTTCTTTGTGGCAGAAGATGTTGAACATTTTTCATGGGTTTATTGGCCACTTGTACTTCTTCTGAGATATGTATGTTCATTTTGGCTGTCCATTTTCTTGATTGGGTCTTTACACTCGTGTCCTATTTTGTTTTATTTAGTTGTCTAGAGATGGCTGCATCTGGGTAGAGCATGACATATTTCCATGAATTTTTTTTACAAAGCAAAATTTTCTACAAAACATGAATACTATTGTAAGAATAAAAAATCATTAAAAAGTAACTACATTTGGGCCAGGGAGATGGCTCAGTGGAATAAGTGCTTCCCTGGCAAGCACAAGGGCCTGAGTTCAATCCCCGGTTCCGCCAAAAAAAAAAAAAAGTAACTACATTCATGAAAAAAAAAACAGGAAACAGGGCTGGAGATATAGCTCAGTGACATTGCACCTGCCTAGAAAATGCAGTCATGAGTTTAGATCCTAGTACAAAAAAAGAGAAGGAAATACAGTGGTATTCTCTCCATACAACTGATAATAAAAGAGCTTTTATATTTTCCCCTTTAGGCAATTAATTTAAAAGGCTGTTTCCATTCTAAAAAGTTTGCTTTATAAAAATCATATTTCCTAAGATTTATAATGAGATTTTTTTTTTAATGTATTTGGTATAGGGTCTCACTACACAGCATGGACTCACAGTGATCCTCTTGTTTTCAGCCTCCCCAGTGCTGGGATTACAGGCATTCATGCCCAGAAGGTGGGCTCAGTGCACCCAAGGGCAGGGTTGGTGCTGCACATGGTGCCAGGGATTGAATCTTGGTTCCTGAGTTTGCCTAAGCAGGTGCTTAGTCTGCTGAGCTATCTCTCCAGCCCTATTAATGGGGATATTTTAAAAAATCAAAGTTCTCATAATTCCAAATTTACTACTATTATGGATTACTGGACTATATAAGGTTCAACTGCTATATACGGGTACCAAAAATCTTTGGACTGGCATCAAGAATGAAAAAGTCTTCTAAAGCATTCTCCCAACACAGCTTCTCCAACTACATGGCAACACCTATCATTTATACAACAAAACAGTAAAGGGAATAGCTGAAGCTGAAAATTGATCATATGTGGGATGAAGGACAGGTTCAGAGTGCCTAAAGCACTCAAGCTACCTCAGTCTTGAGAAAAATATCCTGTCTGGTCAATTTCAGCTATTATTGGCTAGGCAACCTTGAGTCTCTTGATACTCTCTTTTGAAAGGTATAAGGAAACACCCCTACTGATGTCCTGGAGTCCTCTGTCAATGAGGCGATAGGCCACAACCTGACCCAGCTGTTCTTGTCTATCTTTTTTTTTTTTTTTTTCTATCTTTTCCTCATTCCTGCCACTGTTTTTCCCTGAGATACACCAAGAGACCAACAGATAGACACCTACAATTATGTATAAAAAATACGTGCTAATTTAAAATAAGAATTGACAAATGGATCACACTAGCAGCTTCTACATAGCAAAGGAAACAATCAGCAGAGCAACTGGGTAGCCTACAGAAGAAAATCTTTAACAGCTGTTCTGAGAGAATATCTAGAACATATAAAGAACTCAAAAAGATTAACAACAAAAGAACAAAGTAATCCAACCAGCAAACAAGAAAATGAACTACACACTTATCTGAAGTGGTACAGTGGGCTGGGGAGATAGCTCAATAGAATAAGTGCTTGCCTGGCAAGCACAGGGTCCTGAGTTCAATCCCCATTACCACAAAAAAATAAAAAGTGATACAAATGGCAATATATTTTGAAATGCTCAACATCTTTAGACATCATGGAAATGAAAATCAAAACTATATTGAGTTTCTACCTCCCCTGGTCAGAATGGCTATCACTTAGAAAGCAAAACATACATACTACTGAGGATTGATATGGAGTAGGGCTTATACAACACAGTGAGTGGGAAAATAAATTAGTACAGTCACTATACAAAACTGTATAGAAGTTTCTTAGAAGTAAAAACAGAACTATTATATGATGCAGCTACATAACTCCTGGGTATATACCCAAAAGAGTTAAAGTCAACATTCAAAAGATATACCACACATCCATGTTTATCATGTTATTAAGTGTCCATCGATGGATTAAATAGATAAAAAGAAATATACACATACAATTCAATCAGAAGAATCAATGGCTTCTTACCATTATGAACATTTTGATGATATTTAAATTTTCTGCAAGTGAAATATCATTTGCAGAAAAGTAGAATTAGAAATCATTGTTAAGACAAAAATCAAAGAATATGTTTTCTCTCAAGAGGGAGATTAGGGAAAAATCAAGGGACAGGGCAATTTAAATCTGTAATACAGAGGTAGAGACACTCAAAGCATGCTATAAGCATGTGTGAAAGTCATAATCAAATCCATTATTTTATACAATATGCACTTACCAAAACATTTCCTATGTACCATATTTATTCCCATAATTGCACTACTAGATAGTACTATGATTTTGCAAATAATACAAAAAGAAAATACACCTCCAGCCAAATATCACATGTAGTAGAACGGTGCTGAGAAAAACTAATGTGCCTCAGGTAAAGCTTTTAAAAATTTCTTCCAATAATTTTTCTGTAAAGTATAATGTATTCAATAGTGTGTGGAAGGTTCTCCTAACATTAAGGAATTATCACATCTATTATATCTCATAGCGAATAAGGTACAATGATGAAAATTATATTGGCTATCTTCCTCACCTTAAGGTATTCTCTCAAGAATATCTACTCTGGACTTGAAATTTAACAACTCCCCATTCTTATACTTAAGGAGTTTCTCACCCATATAAATACTCTGATATTGAGCATATCCCAGGCCATGGTAAAAGTTCTTTTCTTTTCTTTTCTTTTCTTTAATGTATTTGGTACAGGATTTCACTACATAGCACAGACTCATAGTGATCCTCCTGTTTTCAGCCTCCCCAGCACTGAGATTACGGGCATGCACCACCATATCTGGTCTCTATGGTAAGATCAATACAACATGTGGTGCCAGGGATCAAACCCTTATCCCTGGGCTTGCCTATGCAGGAGCTTAGTCCACTGAGCTACCTTGCTGGCCCTCCCATGTTCTTTTATATATAGAATTCCTAGTCAATATGAATTCTCAGGTAATTAATTTTTTCATATAATCTGCTCCACATTATAGTCATACAACTTGTGACATTATGAATTTTCTGGTGTCTACAAAGTAAACCATTTAAAGATTTTCCCACATTCTGAATAATCTTAAGGTTTCAGATCTGTACAAATGGATAGGCAATAAACACTTAAGTCTAAAGGCTTTCTCACATCTATACTCATAGGGCTGCTCATCACTAAGAATTCTGTGATGTTCAGCAACTCTAAACTTTTAGATATAAAGCTTTCCTGCATTGCTTACAAAAGGTTTTTCAGTAGTAACAACTTTCTGATGTTGAGGTTTCAACCACAATTACATCCTTTCCCCCTCATATTGTTTCATACCAACATGAATGCTTCAATGTTGAACAAGGTTTGTCTCATTAAAGGGTTTCCCATACTCTTTCATTCAGTTTCCACCTGTATGAGTGGTATGATTTTTATGGAAAGACTAAAAGCCTTCTCAACTGACTACATTCAGAGAGCTTCTACTATGGATATCCTGATGTTGAAAAAAATCTGAATTGTCAAAAGTATCTTCCTTCACATACATAAGATTTCACACGAGTATAAGTTCCCTAATGTTCAATAAATTAGTACTGATGTCTGAAGGAGTCTCACATTCCTTATATTCAAAGGAATTCTCAGCAGAATGAACTTTCCGATGTCGAGAAAGTTGTAGTTGAAGTCTAAAAGTCTTCCCACACTCCTTACATTCATAGGGTTTTTCACCAGTATGGATTCTGTGATGTTCAACACATTGGTGATAATATTTAAAGCTCTGCCCACATTCTTCACATATAAACGGTTTCAAACCAGAATGAATTCTGTGATGTTGACTGAGGTTTGAAGCACGATTAAAGGCCTTCCCACACACTCTACATTTATAGGGTTTCTCACCAGTATGAATTCTATGATGTTCAGTAAGTCGGTGATGATATCTAAATGCCTTCCCACATTCCTTACACACAAAGGATTTTTCACCAGTATGTGTTTTCTGATGTCGAGAAAGCTGTAGGTGAAGTCTAAAAGCCTTTCCACATTCTTTACATTCAAAGGGTTTTTCACCAGTATGACTTCTGTGATGTTCAATAAGTCGGTAATGATACCTAAATGCCCTTCCACATTCCTCACAAACAAAGGACTTCTCATCAGTATGTGTTTTCTGATGTCTAGATAGTTGTAGGTGAAGTCTAAAAGCCTTCCCACATTCTTTACATTCAAAGGGTTTCTCACCAGTATGACTTCTGTGATGTTCAATAAGTCGGTAATGGTATTTAAATTCCTTTCCACATTCCTTACATACAAAGGATTTCTCACCAGTATGAGTTTTCTGATGTCGAGAAAGTTGTAGGTGAACTCTAAAGGCCTTCCCACATTCTTTACATTCAAGAGGTTTCTCACCAGTGTGACTTCTGTGATGTTCTATAAGACGATAATGATATCTAAATGCCCTTCCACATTCCTTACATACAAAGGGTTTCTCACCAGTATGAGTCTTCTGATGCTGACTGAGGTTTGAACTACGATTAAAACTTTTCCCACATTCCTTACATTCATATGGTTTCATACCAGCATGAATATTCTGATGTTGAACAAGATTTGAGCTACAACTGAAGGTCTTCCCACATTCCTTACATTCAAATGGCTTCTTACCATTATGAACATTTTGATGCTGAACAAACTGTGTCAGAAGAATAAAGACCTTCCCACATTCCTCACATTTGTAAGTCTTCTCACCAGTATGAACTCTGTGATGTTCAACATATTGGTGATGATATTTAAAGCCCTGTCCACATTCCTTACATATGAAGGGATTCTCACTGGAATGAATTTTCTGATGCTGGCTGAGGTTTGAACCACGATTAAAGCCTTTCCCACACTCTCTACACTTATAGGGTTTCTCTCCAGTATGAATTCTGTGATGTTCAATAAGTAGATAGTGATATCTAAATTCCTTCCCACACTCCTTACATACAAAGGATTTCTCACCAGTATGAGTTTTCTGATGTCGATAAAGTTGTAGGTGAAGTCTAAAAGCCTTCCCACATTCCTTACATTCAAAGGGTCTCTCACCAGTGTGACTTCTGTGGTGTTCAATAAGTCGGTAAGGAAATTTAAAAGCTTTGCCACATTCTTTACATACAAAGGGTTTCTCAGCACTATGAGTCTTCTGATGCTGACTGAGGTTTGAACTATGATTAAAGCTTTTTCCACATTCCTTACATTCATATCGTTTCACACCATTATGAGTATTCTGATGTTGAATAAGGTCTGAGGCACAACTAAAGGTCTTCCCATTTTCCTTGCATCCAAAAGATTTCTCACCATTGTGAAATTTCTGATGTTCAATAAGTTGTATATGAAGTCTAAAGGCCTTCCCACATTCCTTACATTGATAGAGTTTCACTCTAGTATGAACACTGTGATGTTGAATAAGATTGGAGTGACAACTAAAGGATTTCCTACATTTCTTATATTTATATAGTTTATCTGTACCGTGAGTAAGAATAGAGCTGGTATAAGTAGGCTTTTTTTCCTCACAGCTGAGTATCTTTTGATTGATATATCCTTCTTGATATCCATTTAGTTTCGCTAAATTGTGTTCTGAGCCACATCTAAAACTGCAAGACTGAAGGCTAAGAGTATTACTTATTTGCTTTATATCCTGGAGGTATTCTGGAGATATTTTCTCTGCTCTACAACCTGAATTCAAACCTGAAAGGGGGAAAAAAGTAAACACATTTTATTTTCCTGTAACACATACAAGAACAAAATCCATTACATGAATAATCTAACTAGCTCTAAATGCTTTAAAGAACAAAAAGAACAAGAACACTAATGAAAAAAAAAGTATACGTAAGATGGTGATGTTCATAACAGTGAAACAGTAAATTTGTGAAACTGAAATGTGAATCAATATCACTGGGTAAGCTTGTTACAAATATTGACATTCAGGCAATTCAGATACACAAAATCAGAATTTTTAAGAGTAAACCTGAGAAGCTGTATTCTTGACATCATTAGAAGATTATTCTGATGCAGATTAAAGTTTAATGTACTAAGAATGGTTTCTCTATCCTTAAAATAAATAAATAAGCCAAAACAACAACAAAAACAAAAACATTCCCAGGAATAATAGGATATCAAGCTACTATTCTTTGTATCACACTGCCTCCCTTTAAGACCTAAAATAATATAACTGATATAATTGTTCCTGCATCTTCTTCCTTTGCTCACACTGTCTCACTGCCTAGGAATCCTGTGACCTGGCTCTTTGTAGAAAATATCCTTCTCACCTTTGAAGTCTCGGCATTTAGAGAACAATTGTACCTGCTGGACCGTATCTAAGCACATACTGTATCTATCTTCTATTTCTAATCCAGAGTCTCATTCCTTCCCGCAAAACGTACTAAAAATAAATACTTAAAAGCATCACGAGAAACCAATTAATTACCTATATAGAGAACAATGATTCAACTGCTAATGGTTTCCCATTGGAGACTATGAGGGCACAGAAGGAAAATGGCACATTTAAAAGTGCTAAAAAAATGTTCAACTCAAAATTATATATCCTTTAAAAGTATTGATCTGGTGCTGGGCATGGTGGTGCACATCTGTAATCCTAGCACTCAGAAGGCTGTGTGGCAGGAGGATCACTGCAAGTTCAAGACCAACCTGGGCTACAAAGTACACTGAAGGCCAGGCTGAACTACATAGTGAGATCCTGTCTCTTCAATGAGGCTGGCGAAAAAGCTCAGCAGTCTATAGTGCCTGCTTAGGTAAACCTAGGCAAGCACAGGGACCGTAGTTCAATCCCCAGCACGACATTGCACGCCAACCCCACCCCCAGGGCAGGCTGAGCAGGCCATATACACACACAAAAAAAAGACAAGGATGGTTAACAACCTAAGTTTGCAAACCAAATTAGAGAAAAAAGAGAGATGCAAGGAAAGCCAATATTTTGGCCCTAGCCTTCCAAGGTCAATTAAGACTCAGGACATATGAGAACTTGTACTGTTACA